GCTGTAAGGCCGTGACCCTCTAGCTAAACACTTGCAAAACCCTATAGATCCCTGAAGTATCAACCCGAAAACCCTCAACACTCATCCTGACGTGTTTGGGACCAGCCACTGGATGTTAAAGACGGCGCCCTCAAGCCCTGAGCCCGGAGGCAATACCTCTCGAAGGCTTCAAATCCCAGAAGCCTTGTACAACTTAAAAACAAACAATTGTCAACACACTTGTACAAAAAAACTTATAGTATCGTAGTGGGTCGTGGCCCCCTCCTCTCTCTGACGTCTCAGTTCCTCCAAGATCGTCTGCGCCTGTCAGCAGCGGAACTCGACCGGTCGTCGCCGGACTGTGCCTCTCTGAATAACTCAGCAACCCCTTCGGGCCCGAACCACACTTCCTCGGAGACCCTACGCCCGGCCCCGCCGCCCTTGACAACAATCGATCTGACGAGTACTAGGCACTTCAAACCAAAAGCTAGTCGGGCAGAATATCCTGAAGCTAAGTTATTTTTTTGAAGCACACTGACACGTAGAAAGCAGTCTTCGGCAGCCGCCTCAGCACCCAATTCCCGAAGCTCATCGCCGAACTCAAACAGGAACTCCGCATCGTCGCCATTGTATCTGAAATGCCTGTCTTTTGGTGTCTAGGGTTTAGAGAGTAGATGCCGAAACTCTTGCAACGGTGAGCGGCTGCGATCTGTGAGGGGCACGAAGATGCTCCGACCAAAATGCGGCTATGATGCTTGCCCAAAGTCCGCACGAAGAAGTTGTGGGAGACACGGCATTCACACATCCAGTAGCCTGAGCTGAGAAGCCGGTAAGACAAGTCCACGGATCCAGGCTGACAAACACCATTTGGACCCTTCTGCAACTCAGCATCAACACCAAAGAAACCTACGGACCTACGTCTAAGTCAATAAATATGACAACGAACAACTGTCGCGCATGGCTGATGCATTTCTCTCGCCTTGGGCACCGTAGGAACATTTTCTTGTCAACAACATATGTCTGAGCACATGGAAACAGGCCCTATTCACATAAACCAAACCCTAAGAGCCTGTATGCTCCTCCGTCATGTCTGTCTTCCCCCCGCGTAGCCGCGCCAGCACTGGGCCCATGTAGTTCCCATGCGCGTGGCGCGTGAGACTTATGAGGCTCAGGAAATGAGGGACTCTAATACAAACCCGACATGATGGTATCTCCAGTACAAGGACAAGCAAGAGAAGGTGTCCTCAATAGTAAAACTACTCCAACTACTCCATGTAGGGCTCGGGGTTTGATGGCCCTTGCCTGTTGTGTGGATCACGGCCGGAAAGCTGTGCGTGCAAAGATTCCTCTATTGGGCTGTAAAAGGGGTGGTTTGATTGCGAACTCTGAGGGCAGCTGGGTGAAGGTCAGCGATTCATCCCAAGAATTTGTATGGCTCCTTGTCTCTTTGTAGCGATGCCTGAACAGTAGAGTACCCCTAAGCAGAGGCAAGTAGAGTCCAGGCCGAGTCCAGGCGTCCTTACAAGTCGTAAACAAATGGCGTAAGCCACAGCTTGAGCCAAAAACCAAGCAGGAAGGATGAAAGTGCTGATGACCAGTGCTGAGAGTGGCCCGAAACATCTCTCTTGAGGAAAGAGCGTCTCAGCCCCAGGGCAAGGTGACTGCCCCACTGTCAGTGCGACCACGACAACAAGCTGCAGCTGTTTTCTCTGATACTTCCCGTCGCCGCGAATGGGGATGCCGCTCCTTCTCTAGACCCTGATCGCTACCCACCCTTAATCCTTTACTCTTAATTAACGTGCGAAAAAAACCCGGCTTTTTAAGGCCCTACCACACCCCGTTAACCCCCGAGCCTACGGGCAGAGCCCCGAACCCAAACTCAACACCTCCGTCACCTCAGTCCTTCTCAGGCAGTGCGCAGGTTCCGGCATTCCTGGGGCACTCCCGAAACTCCGCGGCTTCCAAGGGGCCAGCGCTCAAAAAGAAAAGGGTGTTAGATTTTTAAAGGGCAGAGAAAGGGGGTTAGAATTCAAGAAGGGTTTATGCTTATCGCTGAGGCTTTCAATTACCGAGGTCATTTTGGACTCAGTCAGGCCGGGACGTGGAGGTCCGAAAAAGCACTGAAGCGTGGCTTAGCCGTAGCACTCCGGGTCTTCAGTCTTGAGCCCATGCATTCTGGAATGGCGGAGGTATTTTGTTGTCCCATCCCTATGCAGCGACTCCAGATGCGAAGCCTTAACCCAGAAATCCAAACTTCTTCCGGAAAGGGGATGCGAGGTTTCTTGGGTCTTGCGAGCCCAAGCTGCGTGCACTTCGTGATGTCCTCAGCTTCCGAACTTACTTTGGGTGAGAAGGGCTAAGGGGAAACTTACGGGTTCGGCTGTTAGCTTCAATGCATCCTTCAATGCATCTACCTTCGGGAGTTGGGCTCTGGCCTGGCTTTGGGCTAGCCGTTGTTTCTTCGCGGCTGGCGATTCGGTCCGATCCTGGACCGTCTGCACTAGCATTTCTGGCAGGCTTGCGCAAGGAAAGCAAGGAAGCGCTCAGTCTCTCTCACCGCCCCCTTCACAAAGCTGCAGCAAGAAACCGGGATGTCCACAAAAGCTCCGAAACCCCAAGGCCCCAAGGCCTGATGCCTCCCCCCCCACTTGGCCCTCCTTTTGAGGCCCCGTCCGTAGTGGAAATCATGCAGGACATACCTCGAAAAGGCTCCGAGGCCCCGAGGCGGATTGAAGGCCGGTCTTTGGGAGTTCCAGATCCGTTGAAAAAAGGCCTTTTTTTAGCGAGCTTTTGAGGCTTCTGTGGCTGAAGATTCGGGGCTTAGGGCCGAGGGTGGTTCGATGGGATTGGCTGGAGGGACTGTCGCCTCCTGCCTGTGGCAGGACGTGAGGATCCTGCACTTCCACATTGGTTCAGGACTTCACTGCGTTGAGCTGTTCTCCGAGAGTCCGGCAAGCTCCAGAACGGAATGTTGATTTTCTGCCGCCATCACTACGTGGACTCGTATGAGGATAAAACCGTTAATATGATCATCATTGCTCGTGTAGTCTAGGGTGCAGCATAACCATCCATGAAACTGACGTAAACTTGTGCATGGAAAAGCTGGTGCCCGCAAGGACCACTTGTCTCACACGAGGACATAAAAAGCCTGAGAACGGGAAGCATGTCACTGATCAACCCTCATGCCGATAATTCTATCGGGCAATGCCGCAGGATTGCCTGATGTGCCGTCGCTCACGTAGCCGCCGTTGCAGTTGTCCTGGCTGAACTCCGTCGGTAGCCCATCATTTAAGCATGCCGGGTTCCGTGATTCATTCGGGAAGGAACAAACCTGATTCTGTCTTCTGCCACTGTCGCCGTCTCTACCAAATAGAACTCTTGTCCCCGAGCCCTGAAACCTTAAGCTGTGTCCCCAATGCACACGGCTCGCAACTCACACCCTTGGCAGGCCAAGATTCCACCGGCTGCGCTGCGCAGGAAGAGCCATGGAGTTCAACTCCAGTGCAGGGCAGGTAGCCTGAGTGGTGTAGGGCATCGGGATTCGAACACGAATTTCTACAGCACTCTTGGAGGGTCGGGGGACTGAGCAATACGTATTCGAAAAGGGGATCCTAGCTGGGGGAAATGGTGCTTAGAAGCCTATGAAATAACTACTTAGCAGGTCCCACGACCTCCAAGCTTTGTCTAACAAGACGATTCCCGAGCGTGAAACCAGGAAAATGATATTGAGGCCCCATCAGTGAAGCTGTGGCCATGGCCTTATTTCGATACTTGCAAGAGGGTTTTGGAATATGCTCTAATTACTGCACTTTGCTCCTCTTGTCACAGCAGCCTAGAAGAGTTTCCGGACCCCATGCAGCGATCCGGAAGGAATGGCGAAAATGACGGCGAGAAGTACTCGACGCGAACCTAGGACTTCTACAACCCCGAGCCTTGAAACCGTATCCACAAGCCACAAACTGAAGCCACGAGCTGCCCCGAACCGCTGAAGAACTTAACTCCAAAACCATGAATGCCCCTGCCTATAGGCCCCTAAGTAGTTCCGTTTGGGGATTACCTTACAGGATTCTAAATATAAACCATAAAAAGGAACCACTTAGGGGCCTATGGGTATAAGCCACCACTCCAGACTTCCACTTCCAGGCCCTTCGTAAAGGCTCCCAGAAAACCGTAGTGGCCTTAGCGCAGAAAAACTTCAAGCCCAGCTGCAGGTGGAGCCGCCTGTGGAGCACTTGCCCTTGCGGATGGCCTGGGTTGAGGCTTTGGTTCCATACTTGCAGTACATTATGCTATACTTACTACATTATCTTAGACTGTTCATTTCAAACACCTTCTATTTTATGCTATATACTTGTCTACTACATGACAAGCTCAACAGCTTTGGGTCTTCAGGGCTTTGCAGGGGCTTTCGGGGTGTCTGGGTTTCCGGATTGAAAGCGTTCGGCCTTTGACAATTTGAGGCCTTAGGCTCCTTGGTGTGCTTCAGAGTTTAGGAAGAGTAATTGCTTCGATACACTTCATGAATAAATAAATAAATACATACATATATATATATAGATATGTACATACATGCCTACATCCCAACCTACCTGCCTACCTTCACACATACACAAATATATACACACAGTGACATACACAGCATTACATTACATTACATTACATTACAGTACATTACATTACATTACATTACATTACCTCACATTACATATATACATTATATTACATTACATATATACATTACATTACACTACATTACATCGCATCACATTACATTACACTAATATACATACATACATACATGCATGCATACATACCTACCTACATACATTCTACATGCATATATACAGAAATTTGTCCAAGACCCGAACCGCTCCTGAGATCCCGTTTGCAAGGCTCCACCGCCAGGCCAGGGACCGCTCTCATGCATGAAGGAATGGAGGGCTTCAGAGATCTAGCCATTTCTAAGACTTTTGGAAGGCCTTGACAGTCTGGGAAATCGCACATTTTCGAGCCCAGGCACCTCATTGACCACAAACCCTAAACCCTGTAAACCATGAAGTCTCAACAAGCGCATCCGATCTAAAGTCTTCCTTGCAGGCTCCAGTCACGCATTGTGTGAGCTTGTCGTCGGAGCACTTGTGGAACACATTCACCTGGCGGGCCCGAAAACAGAGACTACCAACCCTGGACCTTCAATGGGGGCGGCGTACCAAGTATGGTGAGCAAGGTTTACCATGCACGAACGTGTGCAGGCATCTACACACGTCGTCTGCATGCTGACTTGCAGTAGCATCTAAACTTGGGCCAGATACATAACAGAGACGGTGCTTAGCAAAATAGAAGAAATTGTGTGCCGCAGCACTTCCCGGAGCTCGCCGCCCGACCGCGGTGCATCTTCCCTGTCTGTTTGTGCCACGTCACGCATGTTCCGGCGTCTGAAGATTTGCACGGATCGGACTTGTCCTGGGCACGTGCAAAGCTGGCATGCAGGGCGGCATTTCTAGCAAACCAATGCTGAATGAAGGATGCCCCATTGCCCTACAACATGCTTGGCTTTGCTAAGTTGCAGATGGGCACTTCTCGATCATGGTGCCAACACAGGCCTTGAGCAAGTCACAGCTTCTTTGACATGCCACATCATCGCGACTGTTCGGTCTAGAGTCTAGGTTTGTTCTGCGCCGACGAATGTCGGCGAGAAAACGATTCGTGCTTTCACGAGCTGCCGTCTGCCAGACGTGGAGTGGAACAAATCGCAAACTCAAGGTCCTCCGACAGAAGACAAGACACACCATCAAGTAAGAAGATCTGAGCAAACCTCACTTCACAGCCTCAGATTGCAGGAAGCTCTGTCTGCCTGTGCCGCCCCCCGCACCAGCTCGTCGGACTCCCCCTCTTCCAAGCCTGGTTCCACGGCATTAACTCTGTGATTTAAAATTTAAGGCATTTAGGGTTTCTTGGCCTCAAGCTCCTTTGTTACTCCCACCAGACTGGGTGATGGTTTCGACTCTCACTGACAGCTAACTGACAGGCAGGCCCAGGTAGGCGGACCATACAGCGAGGCGAAGGGGTTGTTCGGGGTTCAGCGACAAGAGTGTGCCGGGTGACCACCTTCTGATGCCATGACTGCAAGTACGTTTGTGGGAGTGGGTTCCTGGATAGCCCTAGAAGCCATGCAGAGACCACACATGTGAACAGCCATTGTCATGTGGCTCACCGAACTGCGCACCACCTCCTACTTCAGAACGGCCATCAGACTTGATGACCACTGTCAACATAGTCATCATCATCATCATCACCACCACCATCATGATAATCATCATGTGGCTCAGCACATGAAGTGTCATGGATGTCATCATCAGCAGCACTGGAACCGGCACTACTGTAATCTCTAACTCCTACTTCTCTTATTTGCTATGAGAACAGTCATCAGCATGATGATCACCAGCACCATCATCGTCAGTTTTCCTCAGCCCGAGCGTGAACCCCGACTTGGAATCATGGAAGAAATACGATGCTGAAATGCAAAAGGGTATGCCGGTGGACATACTAAATCGTGAACTCTCAGAGCCGTAAATCCCCAAAACCGGGAACCCGGAATCACCGATTCAATCCCCCTCAGTGTTAGCTCCGCAAATCCTTCGCACCCTCAGAAACCTAGCAAGCAAAAAGAAGCAAAGGATCCCGGTGCCTTCTTCCAAGCCTTCGAAGCTTTCGGCGTCGGCATCCGACGAGCTCTGAACCTCTGCCGACTCGGAAGATCCTCCGGAAGTCGGGGCGAAGCATCTGTATCAGCAGCAGCAGCAGCAGCAGCAGTAGCCGTAGCCGTAGCCGGAGCAAGAGCAGGAGCAGGAGCAGCAGTAGCAGGAGCAGGAGCAGGAGCAGGAGCCGTAGCCGCAGCAAGAGCAAGAGCAAGAGCAAG